CCTTTGAGGAAATGTATTTTCAGATGCCAAGTAAGCTGCATCATAGCGCATGGGCGAAACAAACCACCCCCACGCGACCCCCCGATGGGATGGGACAGAAGCAGAAGGAGGTTCTTAAAGAGACAGAGGCCAATTTCAAGGCGTTTAGAAGAGGAAGTGATGAGAAGATAAGTTTATTTTCTATTTGAACATAAAAACAGCATTTTAATAACAGCTAACGGTGACATAGATACTTTATTATGGTACAGTATTTAAATATATGCCTGAGAAACACATAATATTGGCCCTTTAAGTGTTTCATGAACAAACTTACCTCTGAAAATTTTCAAGCACTGGACTGAAAATGGGTGAAAAACTCAGCAAAATTCCTTAAAAAGCCTGAAGAACTGTTAAAGTTGAGGTTTATTTGGAAGCAAAGTAGGAAGAAATGAGAGGTGTCTCAAGACTTTTGCACAATGCTGCATGCTGTTCAGCTCTTTACATAATACACTGGCTTTTACACTCTGCTGATAAAAACTTTGATCTCTTTTTGTCTTTTCTACAAACAATCTAATTAATTCTGTAAATCGAACGGAACCCGTCCCTCTTACTTTGTGCTGTAAATGTCTGGGCGACAGTTTTCAACCTATTCTTCAGCACATATTGATTGATGTGTTTATCAGGCAGCACCACCTAAAGGTTCAGAGGTCACACACATTTATCAGTCGGTTTTTACACAATAATATTTCTCCAGACCCCCTGACAAAAGTTCACTTTAATGCAGTTAAATGGTTGGATTTTATATGTTTGTTTTTTTTTTTTGCCTCACTCCCTTTGTTTCTGAGCATCCTGCGTGTGTCACATTCATTTAGTTTGTTCTCAGGTCCCTAACCATCGAGGACCAGATCTCGCTGCTGAAGGGCGCCACATTTGAAATAATGCAGATCCGCTTCAACATGGTGTTCAACGTAGCAACGAGCAACTGGGACTGTGGCCACATTTCTTACTGCATCCATGATGCTGTGCGAGGTGAGACCGTTTAACGCGAACAGCGACATTATAAAGTCCAAACAATCAGGACTTTATGCTCCGCTGTGCTTAATAATGTGTCTGCTGTCTGGATCATGTAATAGGTTTAAGAAATAACATCTCTCTGCTACAGCAAAAGGGGACGGTGAGAATCCAACAAGATGAGTAAAGACCAAAGCGTTTCGTGTCGCTGGAATGAAGTGAAAGAAAAGGATGATTCAGACACTGTCTTCTGCTGAGGGCTTTTGTGGAAGAATTATGAGCAATAAAAATCATTTCTGGTGTAGATTGCTTCAGGAACGACCTCAGTTTGAAGAAATAAAATCTCATTCTGAACAGATTAACAATGCTAATCCAAGACCAGATGGGACYGCTGCTGTTTGTAGGACAACTGGATCAACTTTAGTCTTACTGACCTGGTCTAGTCTYCCACTAAACATCCACAGTCGTCCACATTACCTCATGTAGAGAAAAACAGAAAACATTCCTGTCTGAGCCCAAAAGTCATGCTTTTTTTTAGACTGCTTACTTTTTTTAACTCACTTAATGACTATTTCAGCACCATTTAAGCTTAATGTTGACCGGATCAGGATGAAGTGAGACAGATGCTAAAATCCCAAAATACCTGTTTCTGTTGTTCTTCAGTTGTGTATCTTGACGCTTGCAGGGAGAAAAGTGACCAGAATGTAGCAAAACTGGTACCATCAGTTTTCCGGTCAGTCACTGTGCTTCCTGTTCTGTCTGCAATCAAATGTTTCTTTTAACAGTTGCTGCCAAAAATCCATTTGATTGTGTTCTTTTTTAATCTAAACAAGAATCTAAGCACATTGTTGGTCAGCGTGTGTATCACGTGTGGGATCAATCAAAGCAGTAAACAGATTTATTTTCTTTTCCTCCAGGTTACACTGATAAAGATCATTTTTAAATCTCACATTGGTCAGTCTAGTCTGACCAGCATAACTGCTGCAAAAATGCAAATCTATTGAGAAATGCTGATAATAAACCTGATTACATTACTACTACTCAAAAAAACTTAAGTTATATGTAATAAAAAATACGTATTTCTCATAGTTGTGTAAAAAAAACTGGAAATTTGTTCAATTTTTGACTGCTGCTACAGTGCTGATTAAAAAAAAAAGCAAAACACAACCAGTCATTTGGAGTAATGTTTAGAAAAGTTGAAATTAAAAAAAGATTCCACTGCTGAGTRCGCATCAAAAAATACACACCAAGAGAACAAGACTCTTATTTTTACAATTAAAATTTTCTCAAAGAAATTTAGGAAAATGAGGCCGATTAAGCTTAATTAAGCAAATAAGTGCTGTTTTAAATTTGTCACCAGTGAACCTCAAAGACGGATGGAAAAGGTCGTTYGTCATTGCTTCCTGATGTGAAATTCTGAGTTTGTCATTGTCTCTGCTCAGTAAAGCTTGCTGGGAAATCTGAGGACAGAATGGCTCTAATCACAATAAAAAAAAATTATGATGCGTTTCAGGAAACTAACAAATCACACAATAATTTTTGGATTGTAGTCAGATATCAACTTTAATGTCTGAAAATCAGGAAACAATGACGCCTCTTTRAAGTATTTGTTTACCACAGGTTGGTCCACCTTGTACAGTAGAAAAACATGTACATTGTAGGTATGCTGGTAGTTAAATACGAGGTGCCAATATGTAATGACTGGAGATAAACTTGATCTTCTTGTTTAAGATCTCACGTGGCATTCTCTGTAAACCTGCGAGACATTTTTTTATTATTGCTGTTTTTGTTTTAAGGAAAAGTCCAGGATTTTTTAAGTGAAGTTCAGTGAAAAGATTATGGACAATTAATATCTTACCTGTTTTAGATAGCATTTTGACACACACACACACAAAAAAAAAGATAGTATTTTGAACGACTATAGTTTGTAGACTAAGCATTTATATCTGACTAGCTTGATACGCTAACAACTCAGTGCTATCTTATGTGAAGTTGTTCCAACTCATTCAAGATGAGTCAGTTGACTTAATTCCTTCAAGTCTTTTCACCGACTTGCTTTTGTGTTTCACAGCCGGTTTCCAGCCCCTCCTGCTTGATCCAATGTTCAAGTTTCACCACGCGCTACGCAAACTGGATCTGCAGGAGGAAGAGTACGCTCTCATACAGGCCATGTCCTTGTTTTCTCCAGGTAGCAACATGTCGTCAGTTTATTTTTATTTTTTCGCACCACTTTGTACCGAACAGTCATGACTGCAGGATCAAACTTGAGCAGGTTTTATTTCGATTCACACCACCAGATCGTCCAGGAGTGAAGCAACACGGTGCGATCGACAGAGTCCACGAAGACTTGGCGCTCACACTCAAAGCGTGGATCGACTGCAAGAGGACGGGCGCCAAAAAGCAGTGAGTGAAGCGTTGCTCTCGGTCTACTTCGTAAGAAACGTTTCACTCGCTCATCCGTCCCTGTCTCTGCCTCAGTCTGCTGTACCCCAAAGTGATATCCTGCCTGACGGAGCTGAGGACAATGACAGAGGAGTACAGCAAGCAGGTTCTGCAGATCCAGGACGTCCAGCCTGACACAATCCATCCTCTCATAATGGAGGTGGTCAGCAAAACCTCCTGTAATAACGTTTAAAGTGGGCCTACTCTGCCTCAAGCACTCTGAGATCTCTGCTGTTCACAATAGACCTGAACGTGAATGTGACCACTGCCAAATGAAGCTAAGTCATGATGAAATCCAATTACTTCTTTTTACAAACCTATGCAGTGGCTTTAGTTTTTGTTGCTTTACAGCAGTGAGATCGTTTTGCTGCTTTGTATTAAATGTTGTGAGCTTTGATGTTTACTGCAAAGAATTGTAAGACTGCAAAGTAAAGATTCACTCAGGAAGTGTAGGGAAGCTTGGCTGCCAAGTGTTTCTAACATTTTTTTAAAATTGTTACCTCAGTGCTAAAGCATTTTTATGTGTCTGTGTTTATTGTAAATAAGTGAATAAAGGTGCGTTTCAAATTGATGGTAATTCTGGCTTTTTGTTGTCATTTTAAAGCAAACACTGCCCTGCTGTGGTCATTGATGTACATACAACTAAAATATATACAGTATTTGCTGATGTGTAGCTGCATAAGCTGGTAAAATAGTTTCATTTAACTCATAAAATAAGATTGCAAGTAAACTTGGAAGGAGGAAATATGGTTTGTAATGTTTTTTGAAAAGCTAAAATATTTTCATCCTATCAGCAAAGCAGTTTATTTTCAGTGCCACATACCGCTACAACTCACACACCAGAGTTCCCCTTGTTGGCATCTATTTGGTCTCCAGTACTAATATAAAGGACCTTGGAGTTAGTTTTGAGCAGGACATATTTAACTACCATATAAAACAGTTTTCTAAGACTGCCTTTTTTTAAACCCATGTAACACAGTCAAAAATAGAAGCATCTGGTCCTTACATTTATCATCAAAAGCCTTCAGCTGCTCAAAAATGCTGCTGCAAAAGTAAAATCACAGTTTAAAGTAGATATATCCAATTTCATTTCATTGGCTCTCTGTTTAATTAAACTTCTTATTTCTAACATGCAAAGCTCTCAAAACTTAAAACTCTTTTTAAGAATCATACATCTCTTTCACAAATCGTGCAAAATATATTAAAAAATTAAAAAGCGACTCCTAAAGAAGACCAGACAGACAAACTTCTTGATCGTTTCCAGGCTATCCTACTCTTTATTTAATGCAAATTACAGTACCAGGGAACTATTCCTCGGAGCACGCAGAAAGGGAATATTTACAGAGGCGCACATTTAGCATACCTTCACATAACAAAAGAAACAGAACCGAAATGAAACAAAAGAAATCAAAATGTTCAGTCACAAACAGAAGCATTCAAGTAGTAGTACTCTTATACAAGATGTTTTTGTAGTATTTACTTTTCTTGTTTTCTTTAACCCCAGCTAGATCCGGTTGGCATGTTCTACAAGTACATATGCTAGTATATAATACTAGTATTTATACTTTTTTTTTCTTTTGGTAACCGTTCAGGCGTTTTTTTATTGAACTGGGTGGTTAAAGTTTCGGTTAAAGTGGTCAAACCTTGTAGAGGGTAGCAACACGTTCATGAATGCTAAATTACAGCAAGCAGGAGATGGAGGAGGAGAAAAAGGCTACATGACTCGACCCCTTTTAGGTGCTACTGAATCCCTCCCCCATTGAGATGCGGTTCAAGGGAGGGCGTGGGGGGACAACAAAATATCCAGACAGAAGARAAAAGGAGAGTTATTGCCTCTGAAGATGGCTCATCACAACTACATTAAAGTTTGGCTTTGGTAGCAGGACCAACACTGAGTGACAGAATCTCTACTGTATYGTATATGTACAGTAAACGAGGGCTATTTTTTATAAACTGCCCCTCCCGTACCCAACTATAACTACCCACTTAAGTCCATAGAGGATTGCGGTGCCCAAAATAAAACATCTATCAAAATAAACACCTGTTTTAATGGTTCTTCAGTTAAGGAAAACTATCCTTACAAGTAACGTCTGTGTAATACATTAACTGTGCAATGAAAAGTGGGAGAAAATGCGTAGAGGGGAGGGGCTACTTGTGTAGGACATTCAAAAGCACCAAGGAGGAGAGGGGGGTCACAACACTGGGTGGCGATTGATGGGGGGGCAGGTGAGGGTGGAGACAAGGCGAAGGTGTATGAAAGCAAAGGCACTCCAAACTATAGTTACACTATACATGACAAGTTCTTGTTACAATAATACAGCTGTCTCATCTACTGTACTGTACAGGTAAGATTGAACATATGGCTGGATAAAGCTGATCATCATCATCATCATCATCATCATCATCATCATCATCATCATCATCATCATCTACAATATCCATAAACATAAGTTTCGCCCTGATTCTCTTATTTTTTTCTTATTTTTTCCAAATCTTTCTCCACTTTTCTTTGTGTTTTTGCTCATAAACAGTACACGGGTCTGCGTATATATACATACCTTGAACACAACATGGGAAAAAAAAAACATAAGAACATACAAGACGTACAAGTCAGAGTTTTGGTGAGGAGCATTTATACTGTATGTACAAATTCAGTTTTTTTTTCTTCCTTTCTTCTTTTTTAAATTGTAGTGTTTTTCTGTAAGTAATCTGTCAGCTCTGCACCGAGCGGATCTACGTGCTGCAGGTGGAAGAGAAAGAAACGCTTGGCAAACACTTTCAGTCTGCAGTCGCACCGCTAGAACAGCCTCTGGTGCGCTGAAGACCGCCGGCCGCTGGGGCTTCTCCACGAGTCCAGACAAGAGAAATCAAACAACACAAAGCGTGATCGTCTAGAAGTCTTCAGGAGTTTGTTGAGACGCTGCACCGTCACAGATGCAACATTACAGAGAGTCGAAGGCAAAATAGAATAGAGCAGCGCCCTAAATCCATCTACGTAAGAAGAGGAGGAAGTGGCTGCTGGAATCTAACAACACTCCAGCATAAACAACAAAAATAAAGAAAAAAAAAACAACACAAACTTATTGAAATCAGTTATCTTTAGGCAGCAGCAAATATTGCCACTGCTCTACAGGATATGATCTCACCTTAAATGATTTCTGAACCACTGTAGAATAATATACATATATCTATATATACTTTTTATACATAAAGAAAAGTAATATATAAACTGTGTAGGTATGCGTGTTTGTACTGTATGTATATATTATACAAGCACACGGGACCAGATACACGTCACATCCATCGCACACCCAGAAAACATCTGCCCAGGAGAACAAAGTCAAATTAAAAAAAAAAAAAAAACTGACTACAACAGCTCGCTTCCCGCTTAAAAACAACCAGGGGCCAAAAAATACAAATAAACCGACCCCCACCACACCCTGTCACAAAGTGATGCTTTCCGCATACGTCATCATGCATCCGTGTGTAAGTGTGAAGATGTGCGCGTGTCTGAGTGTGTGCTTACGCGTGCGGGAGCCTCATGCCTTGTCTGSGGAAGTGGAGCTGCGAGGGTGTGACGCCCCCCCGCCCCACCCCCATGAATCGATCCTACCGTACTCAGGGCATGCACTACAGAAGGAGCCAAATGAGGAGGGGTGGCGGACTGGGGATGCAGAGAAATGGTAACAATGAGGAGAGGACGGGTCGAGGGGGGACAGCAAAGGACTTTTCTACAGATTGTCCTCTTACAAATAACTGTGTTTACAGGTACAGTCTACTTTCAACAAGAGTACGGTCAGCAACCCTCGCGGCCCAGGTGCCTTTGACGAAGGATGGAGAGGAGCTCGACGAGCAGCTGGACGAGGAGGTCAGCCATAGGAGGGGGGTTCAGATACAGAGGTCGGGGATTCTTGTGTTTGTGGTCGTTTCTAGGGAGGGGGGCTGTTTAGCTGTTGAACCCGGGCTGCCTCAGCATCGCTGCGCCGCTGCCAGGGAGGAGAGCGGGGCAGGAGCACAGCTGTTTGGAGCTCCCCCCACCCTGGCCGAGGCAATGGAGAGGCTGTGGACAGGGGCTGAGACCGGGATGGGGCGGGACGCTCTGCAGRCTCAGGAGGTGGAGTTGGAGGCCGAGGCCGAGGCGGTGGTGATGTTGGGACCTCGCTCTGTGCTGCTGCCATCTGCCGGCAGACACCAAGAGGTCAGTGTTGGTTCACAGAAAGATCAAACATCTTTACAGCAGCTTTAATGGACTGACAAGTACGGGAAAACTTTCTAGTTACTATAAAATACCACTGCGCAAAATGTGTGAGATCAACTGTATGGTCAAATCAAACATTTTATTATAAAGACTTGATTGAGATTTTTTAGAAAATCAACTTACAACTAAATACAGTCAAGATTAAAATGATTTCTTTAGACTACAGCAATGACATAAGTCATAAATAAGTCCTACAAYATGGCAATTACATAGATTCTACTTTATTTAAGGAGACACTGCTGTTACCTGTAGTGGCAGATGCGTTAGTTGGAGTAGAGGCGGCAGCCTGGCTGCGGGCGTGGGCTGGGATGAGTATGGAGGCCAAGGAGGGATTACTAGATAGCTCTGAAAGATAATGATCATAAGTTATGAGATCATGTTTTTAAAGCAATTCTAAACCCTGGAGAAAGAAGCTCACAGCAGTCGAAGAATATTAATAAAGAAAAATGTACTTGGAAGTAAAAAAAGAGAAYGCATCACAATAGAGGGCACAGAAGATAGCTTTAGGTCATATTTTTACACCAAAAACCAGAACCATTAAAACAGGTGTTTATTTATACTCAATATATTGAGTATTCTCTTATGTGCTACCAAAAATACTTAACTCAAAAATATCAAATATAATGCGATCAGAATGGGCACCAGTGACCCCATGACCCAGAAAGGAAGAAGCGGGTAAAGGTGATGCATGTATGATTCGATTAAAAAATAAATAAATAAATAAAACAAGTGTAAAGCAATATACAAGTCAGTCAGTAAAATGAAAACTTTCTACACAAAAATCCCACCCGCAAATCTTTTGTCTATTTTACTAAGACACTCAGGGGAAAATGTCCACAGGAGCATCTGGAGTAAATGCTGTGAACAACTCTTAAGACTACAACAGGCAGTATGTGAGAAAACAGCTCAACCACAGGGACAAAAGGTTTTAGCATCAGTCCAGTGCAGTGTGAGAACGTATCAACTGAGTTACAATGTACAGTAATCCACAGAGCAACGGACCCTCGCAACGAGAAAAGGCTTTGTTGTCACTTACAGACAAGTACCATATTATGGATGCCAAGTTCTGCTCCAAAATCTCTTAGGAGGCAAGTTTTTGTTGGAAAATAGCAAGTAAAATGTTGGTTTATCAACYGAGAGCCACACAGGAAAAAGTGGAGTCATATTGGAGTTGCAGTACAAATATCAACACTTACTGGTACCTTAGAAAATGTGAAAAAACAAACTTTACAAAGTCTGCATTTGAKGGACTGAGACATGCTGAACGTTTGCTAAGTTGTGACACAAGTGAAAGAAATCACTCCATCTTTGCAGAGTTTTAGGCAAATGGTTTAAAATGCGAGGACACAAACATGGGATATCTTCAAAGTTGTATCCAAAAGTGCAAAAATGCACCACAGACAAAGAGACAGTAGTTTAATCAGCCAGTTATACTTTTGACGAGGCATAAAAGAACAAAAATAAAATAAAATAAAAATTATATATCCATCTATCCATTATCTATACCTGCTTCTTCCTTTCGGGGTCACTGGTGCCCATATCCAGCAGTCACTGTGTGAGGGGCAGGGTACACCCTGGAC